CATTAAAGCTTTCTAATGAATACTCTTTCATATCAAAAGGTATCCTCTACATGAATTCACGGCTATTCAAAAACGGTGGATATAAATTTATTATGATAATAATAATAATAATAATCCATATACAATAATAAATAATATAAATACGTCAATACGTCAAATCCGTTAAATCAAGGTAAACTAATTATTATTATTATTATTATTATTATTATTATTATTATTATTATTATTATTATTATTATTATAGTAGATATATCATACCGATTTTTATTCCAATAATGCTGACGAATTTTATAAATTTGTCTTGTTTGCCAAACAACTCAAGTGTCGACTGAAGAAAGTAATATTTCACACCAAGGATGAAATTTTGCAGTTTCCTTAAAAAGTGGATTTTCCTCTACCAAGGTTCGTTAAAACTTTTGGAACAAAAAGAATATAAGAAAAGTAGAACCAAATAAATGAAAAATAGCCTGCTTCTCTTTTGCAAGAGACTGTTAGTAAGATTATTGTCCTAATCTTGAAATTCTACAGGAGAAATAAGTAAGTGATCACATTTTTATGTCCAAATTACAAGAAAGATGGCATTTTCTGAGCAAAACACCAGAATTGATTGCAAAATAACTAGGGAATCCAATTTTAATTATATACTGGCTGTAATGAAAATGTGCATACAGTTTCAAGACTTTTTAATGCTTCCTTGGATTTTATTATTGGTTGTTCATTGCTATCATCATCATCTTCATCAAAATTTTTAACAGATACATCCATTCTTTTTTTATATCCAACTCTTTCCAACAATATCACAGTACAAAATATGCAAAACATCATTATTTCCATAACTTTCATAATTAACTATTGATTTTGAATGAATTAAGATTGCATTGTTTAAATCATCTGGATTTGGTAAAATTAAATCATCTTCTGAATTAATATATTTCTGCAAGTTCTTCAATAATTTTATCATCTTCTGGAACCTCATAAACAATATTTTCTTTGGGAATATTCTTCAGATTGCATTTTATTAGATAAATTAAGCAGTAAGTGCCTCTGAAAGATCATTTAATACTGAATCATTTGTTGTTCTAGTATTATCAGATATACTGGATAATACTGCATTAACACTCGCTGGAAGAATTTTAATATGTCACCAACAGTTATGAAGAGTTTCAGGTGTGATTTCTTTTCAACTTTTTATTATGAATCTTATTGCCTGCAATACATTCGTTTTTAAATCTTCAATTCCTTTACCTTCTTTAATTTCATCTAGCATCCATCTTTAAAAAAAAGATCATATAAATACTTGAAAGTTAATACAATATGACAAAAAAAAATACATACTTAATATGATGACGTCTGTAATGCCTTTTGAATAACATGATTATTCCAGCATCCATTGATTGAAGTTTTGAAGTAGTATTTGAAGGCCAAAAAATAAACATCAACATGTGAAAGAGTTAAACCATCTATTTTATGGCTTGTACAATTATCAAGGAACAGCAAAACATACTGACCTTAGTGGTTATAACATAATTATGTTATAACCACTTAGTCTAGGTTGTAATCACTTGGTTTAGATCTGTGTCATACCTCAAAGTACGATGAGTTTGCATTTGTGTCATACTTTTTGTAGGTTGAGTCGTGGGTTAAGTTGTAGGTTAAGCCTCTCAACGGGCCCCTTTGGTTATGGTTGATTTGAGTTTGATTCGTAATTTTAAACACTTGTCCAGCTTTTTTGTTTTTTCCCATATTTTTAAACCGCTGCGTCGACTTTGATTCCTGCTTTGGGTCCCGATTCGGGCTATGATTGGTTTATGAATTCGTCATCATTTTTGAGACCATTATAGTGGAGCATTAGTGACAACACGAAATATTTGATTTGAATTTTTCTACATTTATTGTAGGAGACAACAAAAAAAAATCCTTCTTACCTAAGATGAATGGTTAGTTGAGTGTAGTATATCTCCTCCTGCCAGAGGCATCTAACTTCAATCCATTCAGGAAAGAAGGACAATAATCAACTATTGGATCCTCATCAAGAAGCTCCTTACTAATTTGAATGCATTTAGCTTGTTTTTTAATCTCAAGCTCAGTAATAACTTTTTTAAGCTCATTGTTTTCGTCCTTAATCTTAGTAAACTCAGCATTTTCGTCTTTGAGTCTGTTATAATTGCTTTATTTTTAGGTCCCAAATCAAAAAATTTGATCATGCTTTTATGTAATAATTTTTGATTTGATTTTTTCCCGCATTTAGTAATCCAGGTTATTACTAAAGAAATTAATTGTACGATTTTGAGTCTGTCCTAATTTCACAATTCTAGCATTGTTCTCTTCATATTGATCATCTAAAGCCCTAGTGGTAATATCTAGCTCAATAACTTCCGTCACTAGGTCCCAAATTCTAGCATGAATCCTTTTCTTTCATGTTCTAACTCTTCAATCCTAGTATGAAGTTTGGAGTTAATATCAATGAGTGCTTCCTTTTCCTTTTTAAATTCAGCAATAACAGCATCAAATATCAAGTTTAATTCTTTAAAGGACTCGATACTCACTGGAGTCGATTGCTTCTTACATGTAACTATTATATATTTTTTTCGTGGAACCATTATTATATTTTTCTTTCTGGCAAGTAGTTAGTTGATACCTTCTTTGTAAATGTTCAATAATAAATTCAAGCCCACGGACATCAAAATATAGATGTAGTCTTCTGCCATTTTTATATATATATTTACGCAGAAGACTACACCTTATACCTTGGTTATTTGTTCATCAGGAACGTATTCTTTAACTTCTCTCGTTAAAACATGTTGTCTTTTTTTACTACCAAGTAAACCCAAAAATGGATATAAAAACGGGAGGAATTCCGTCCTAGTTCTGTCCTAATAAAAAAAAAAAAGTTAACTAGGATGAATTTTTTATAAGAGGAGGAGTTTTTTCCTTGATTTATCTTGTTCTTTTATACTTATAAAATCCGTCCTAGTTGTCCTAATAAAAATTAAAATTCTAGGAAAAAAAATGCAAACCCTTTCTATGGTATATGTGTATATGTATATTAATATGTATATCCAAAAAAAAAATATAAAAAAAAAAAATAAAAAAGTAAGAAATTCTGAAATTTTACTAGGACAACTAGGACGGGTAGTCAAAAACCCTTTTATTTAACCTAAAATTATCACCAAGCTATCTTTTCCCGTCTCAGTTATTTTTTTTTTTACTAGGACGGAATTTTTACTAGGACGGAATTTTTACTAGGACAGAATTTTTTTTCTAGGACGAATTTTTATAAGTATTCGAAATATAGTCTACTTGGGCTCTTTTACATCAATTCCATCTTGAGCTAGCTTTTCAAGCTTGTCCCGGTAGTATTCTGCCATTCTTCGGTGTTTTTTAGCATGAGTATCACAAAAACCATAAGTAGAAAAAGTTAACTTGCCACATTCATAATTAAATTATGTGTTTATTTATATTCTCTGGAATTAATTTTCATTTTGAATTATTTTATGCGAATATTATACTACCAGAATTAAGAAGTCAACATATAGTGAAGAAAATACTAAAATACAAAAAACGAAACCAACAGCGTCTTCTACCAACAACGCCGAGAGCGTTAAAGAAAACCAACTATTCTATTATTTTGGCGAAGGTTATTTAACAGGCGTCCCTACTCGTAATGAAATAATTGCAGGAAATGATGACGGTTTTACAACAATTCTTAAACAAGCTTTGGCTAAGCGAGAAGATATACTTTGCATGCCAGTTGCTATCGAAGAATCCAACGAATATATAAACAATATCGCTCATTACGTTTTACGTCTATATGGCTCTCTCATTAATGGCCAGAAAGCAGTTGTAACAATAACTGGTATTAAAGTATTCTTTGATATCCGCGTTCCTGAAAATAAAAATAATGATATATTCGAGTCGGAAATAAAAAAATATTTGTTAGTGGAGAAGACGATGATGGTAATATTGTAAATATGACTAAACTCCGAATAGAGCACACAAGCATATTAATACTACACGGATATTGTAGTTATTGCACGGGAATTTGGGGAATTGCGACATTTTTCACCTTTCTTATTTAGAAAATGTTATTCAATGTGCACTGCTTTGCTTAAAAAAATTTATTAGGGATAACACGTGTAAACCCTTGAAAAACTTTATTTTAAACACAGAAATTCATTTTTTTTAAATCTCGGTTTAAATGAATTTCATATATTTATTGCATATCTTGCGGATTTAGGCATGGGTCCAATTTTTGGAATTTTAAAAATACGCTTACTTTGGTATCAATAAAACATCTAAAAAAAAAAAAATCAAGATCGAATATTTGTGTGAAAACTCCGTATCTTTCTTTGCCTATTGAAAAATTTAAAAAAAATAGGTGGTCAATTAGTAATTTTTTTCTAGTAGAGGTCTACTGCTTTTTTAAAAATTCCGTGCTGATTAGCACGGAATTCTTGTACGTTTAAAGAATAAATTCATAATCCATCATTCTAGCTTATAATATTTATAAATGAATTGTAGAGGTGGAGAATCTTTATCTATAAGTATTAAATTTTTGAATTCTTCTTTCATGGTTTTAAATTTGAAGATGAAGCTATTTGTACATGAAAGATTATGGAAATGGTAATAAATCCTATTAGTAATGGACCTTGTACAGCATCTCATTATAATAATATTATGACGTTATATAAAAAATTAAAATCATGTGGTTCTTCTATTTATAATTCAAAGAATGCTTTCTTGCTCATTAAATTCGAGGTTGTTGTCGCAATGATAATGTTTACTAGTACAGTATACGGCTTTTCTAATTAATTTTTATTATTTTTTGATTTAAAAAAGTCGAAATTTTACCACTTTTATTAATCCAACTTGGTAATTTTTGCCTTATTCTAAAATTTGTGTTGAATCGATGATCTAATAATATAATCGTCGCATAGTCATTTTGATGCCTAATAGCTCGACCTATTAAAAAAAATTATAAAATACTGTATATATATATATATATTTTTGTTCTAAAAATGGCAAATCTGTGTTACATTTTTCATAATATAAATAAATTTTTTTTTTTTTGAAAAATTTTTTTTTAATAATACATTAATAAAAATAGTATAAAGATTTTTTTAACAATGATTGCAAATGAAGATGATATAGCCACTCCAGGTAATATATACACTTGTATTGGTAGAGATTTACTTTATATTAATATTAATTGATTCTTATTGTTCATTCTTCGATTAAGTGATGATTGCAACTCAAAAAGAAATGAGTGAAGCAGGACTTCCATTAGAATGGAGAGATTATTGTGCACATTTAGCATTACGTTTAAATAAATGTAGAAATTCTACTTGGTTTTTGCCATGGAAATGTCAAGATGAAAGACATACATATGAAAAATGTCAATACGAAGAGTATGTTATATCTATCAACCATATAAAAACCTACTTAATATTTGGATTTTGCAATTAATGAATTTGTATTTATTTGTTTGTTTATATATATTTATGCGCACACTATCACTACTGCTACTAAAAGTTATGTTCGTCGAATGAAAATTCTTGAAAAGATGAAGGAAGAAGAAAATAAAAAAGACTAATTTAATTGAGAATAAACAAACATATAATAATTTTTCACACGGCAAAAGATTGTATTAATCAGCTGACATGCATAATATATCTTTCAACTAGAACTCCCCAAGTATGCATAGTAATACGGTCAAATCTTGTCACAGCGGTCGGATTATAATCATTACGGATTTCTAAAATTTTGTTTCATTAATATTAATATTAATATAAAAACATATAAAAATCCGTTGCAGCAATACTAGCAATCTTTCCACAATGGATTTTAAATAAAATTTTCTTATGTCCCGTTCATCCGCTGTGACAAGGTTCGACTGTAGTAATAGTGATAATAATAATAATAAAATCAATTTTCGACCCTAACTCGATATGCCCCCCTGAATACGATGATTTGGATATAACTGCGCCTAATGAAGGTTGTAGCTTATTCAGTATTTGTAATACACTTTTTTTACCTTTAATCTCACAAATATTAATAATGAGTGAAACTGATTGGGACAACATTACAGTTATTCGTAAACGTTCAGATCAAGCAAAGGTTGCCAAAGGAGATTCTAATATTAATGCAGCTAGACGTGCAGGTGCTGTAGTAGGTGTAGAACGGAAGGGTAGGTTTCTCTTTATGGAGAGAACTAAGGATTGGAAAAAACATGTACATTAAATTTATATGTATTAATTTACATTTATATTTTTAGTCGCAGGTGGAACTAATAGAAGTCATTCAAATACTGAACATCAAAAAATAGCTAAACTTGATCGTGACAATGAGGTCGCACCACCTCCAAAGGTAAGCTTAACAGTTGGTAAGGCAATTCAGCAAGCCAGACAAGCCAAAGGATTAACACAAAAAGAACTTGGACAAAAAGTCAACGAAAAGGCTAATGTTGTAAGTATAATGCATTATATTATATATTATGAATTACACACACACACACACATATATATATATTTAATTTAGATAAATTATTATTAGATTAATGATTATGAGATGAGTAGAACAATTCCAAATCAACAAATCCTTGCAAAGCTTGAAAGAGTCTTGGGTGTTAAATTACGTGGTAAAAATGGTGAGTAAATTAACAATCATCAACAATAATAGTGTTATTAAATCTATTATTTATTTATATTTTGTTAATTATATAGTCGGAGAATCATTCCGTTAATAATGTAATTTATCAAGACAGTTTAATGAATATCTAAAAAAAAAAACCAATGAATTGAGAGAAAGAAGGGGGAGAAGAGAATAAAAGAAATAACAATGAGAATTTTTTTTTAAAATATGTATAAATTAGATTAGTTACAATTATTTATTACTTTTATTGAAAGAATTTTACGGGTTCATATTTTATGTTCAACTTTTAATTTTATAAAATTTGGAAATAAAAACCATTAGCATATAAATGCTGAATTTGTTTATTCCAACAAAAAACCAATTATCAACATCAACATCCTCAATATTAAAAAGTTTCCAACAAAAAAATTATTTAATGAAATACAAAAAGCGCAATTCAATAGTGTGGTATAAGGATAAACTTTGATGTTGTATTAACAACAGGTACTACAGGATTTGTGCTTTTACTGAATAAAGAAAACACTATTTGCAACTTTAAGTAGGCCATACTTGGTGAAAAAATTGTCATAACATTACCTGATAGCCCTAAAGCTGTAAACTTACCTCATGCAATCGATTAGTTAAAGGTGATACTGGTGATAACACACAAACACCAGAATATTTGGTAGTTATAATTCTAGAAGGCACTGATCGTCTTAAATGAGATCTCGGATCCATATGTGAAGCATGTTTGGATCCTATAGTAAAGTAATTTATTAAATTTTCTTTGATTGATATAGATATGATTGTTTTTATTATTAAATTATTGAACAATTTACTAACCATTTCTAATTAACCAGACATTTGAGATTATCTGTACTTGTTGAAAAGAAAGATGCAGAAAAGAAAGATTGAATGGCTTAAACATTCTATTTAGTAGTAATATAAAATTTTTCTAAAATCATGTACATATTTTGGAGATGTTGATCATCCCCTCGTGGAGTTTAACATTATACTATTTCAATTAAGATTAAATGAGTTCTTTGAACTCATCAAGGCAATTGATTTGAAGTGGTATAGTCTATCTATGAAAACCCAGTTGCTGAAGTGATTAGTCGTTGCTCTTGAGGTAAAAGTATTATTATTAGAATAAAATTATACAGGCATATAAATCCATCATTTTCATACCCTCATTTTTATCTATCATAATAGATGTTTGATATACACAAAAGAAACTACAATGGTTAAATATACAAAAAAGAACACTGTGTAGTGATAAAATAGTCATCACAACTTGCATGAAGAATATGATATGTTTACCATGGATGATATATATAATAAACGAAATGAAAAAGTAAGCATATAACTGACTGACAACTTATCAATTGTTTGTTTTAGAAATTTGTGAATAAGTTGAGGGTTTTTTAATTGATAATAGAAAAATATTCATCTTTTATAACACTTCGAAATGGTTATAATGAATCAGAAAATGTTGTAATATAGGTTGTACCTATAATTTAATGATCCTAAATATATAATATATAATATATAATATAATCATATATATTAATATATTATAGAAGTTTACATTGCCAAGGATGTAGTTGTACCTTCATATGTAGTCAAATTAGCGGATTTAAGATAAGCTTTACAAAAAGAAGGTAAGATACACACCACTTCTATGCCATTTCATGATATATGACAAATGTTAGATGATGAATCCCTATATTAACATCTGGTCACTAATATTAATATCTCCATATTTTTATATGTATCTTATTTAATCAATCCAGGAGTAAAGAAAATCAGATGAATTGAACCGCAAAATATGATACTGATGCTCACATGGATATTGACAATACTAATGTCACTATAATATGCCAAGAGACCCATATTTTGATTCTAATGACAATAATATGACAATGAAAGTATTAATGGTAATGGTAATAATAACAACAATCAAACAAATGGTTTACCGATTCAATCCTCATCATCGACATCTTTAGTTGACAAATCAAGATCAAAATAATATGATCATAAATATAAATTCCAACTTACCCATTCAACAATCCACCCCTTCAAATTGACAAATTCTCTTGTTATCATTCATTTATCTTCACCAAATCCTCAAAGACAAATTAATCAATATTTATCTGTTGAATCTTGTTGCTCAACTATAAGTGGTCTATCACTATCATTCAACCCATTAATACTAATCTTCAATGACAACAACAGTTAGCACAGGCACATTCACAGTGGCAAATACAGTATTTACCTCAACATGTGCAACGGAAATTGGCGTAACAATTGTCGCAACAAATGCCACAAAGATTACAACAACTACACAGCACTAGGATCACCTCAAGCAAACCCAAATCCGCAAATTTACAACAGAAACCTGTGACAATTAATACAACTTTGCCCCAACAATTGTTACAAAGACAATTCAATAATGTTATTATTAATCAACAAGGGAAAAGTATAAACTTACTCAACGACAACTTTGACCAGTAGATTTAGCATTAATCAATAATGGTACCAATACTGGAGAACAACAAACAGAACCATCACCACGACTATCCCACTTCAATAAATTAGGAAATATATATATACAGACACATAACACATTGTTTGGTATTGTTGATTAATTACTCCAACAGTTTTTATTTTTTATTTTTTTACCTTATATATCTGGAATCAATACTCTGAGCATTAGCTCAATTTTACAATATATTATAAACAAATAAGTTTTTTTAAATATATTTTATATATACAGTATATAAGAAATTTTTTTGATATTAAACCAAATCATGCCCTAATTTTGTGTCTTGACAATGGGATAATCAATATTCAGAAACACCTCACAACTAATTTTCTCACTTTTTTTTCTTATCGTCATCATTGTCATCACCATTGTTGTTGTTGTTGTTGTTGTTGTTGTTGTTGTAAATAGATTCAAGTTTAAAGGTTTCAATTATTGATTTCTAATAATGTTTTTAAAATAAATATATTTGTCAAAAAAGTTGGTTTATTTATTTATTTTTTTGTTTATAAATATGCAAAAGAAAAAAAATTTACCATGTCTCGACCCCAACCTAATCTATCCCAAGTAACTTTAATATTTTTAATTAATGGACTTTTAAGTTGTTTCATTTGATCATTTTGATTTATAATAGTGTCAGGATCTTGAGGCAATCTACTAATTAAATCTCCATTTTTTAATAATAGTAAAGTTGGTATATCGAAATTTGATGGTGACAATGATATATTATATTCGTCTGCTACTGCTGGATACTTCTCTAAATCAATTTTTGCAAAGTTTATATTTCTTTTGGTATATCTATATAAACATATAAACACATTATTATATTAATATGTAAAGGAAAAGAGAAAAATTATTTGTTTTAAAAACTTACTTTAAGGAAGTTTCAGCAACAACTGGTTCAAAATTTCTACAAACATTGCTCCATGATACATAACAAAATATTATCCAGTATTCCTCATTTTCCTCTTCAATCTTATTTTTCTTTTTCCTTAATTTACTACTTTGAGATACTTCTTGTTTTCCATCTTGATCTTCATCCTCATCCTCATCATCTAAATCGCTCTTCTTTTCTCCGGTAGCTAAAACAACATAATCAATAATCAATTAATAAAACAAAATATAATTGAAAACATAGTGACTTTAAAAGGTTTCTTGTTACCTCGATACTAATATCTAAATAATCATATGGTAGAATATAACGGATAATCAAATATGGTAATATGAAAAGTAAATTTGCAACATAATGAGGTAAGAAAAGTCTTTGTTTAAATTCTTTCAACATTTTATTTAACTTTTACTCTGAAAAAAAAAAAATATATATATTTGAACAAAATATTTGGGGATGAATACTGGTGAACATTATTAATATTGAAATTTCAGGGTTAAATTATTACATGATTATTGTTATATAAAATGAGAAATCCCGATTTTTTATAGGAGAGTAATATTAAATGGGA